GATAGAATTTAGTATATTGACGGATATACTCGTCATGCGTATAAATCTTTGACTATTAGCTATTAAGACAAGCATCAACTAATCCAGGGTTCGCCGGTTCGATTCCCGCCTAAGCTCGACATTAGACATCTTTAATATCGAATTTCTACTTGAGGTTATAGATCACAATATAATTTCAAGTGAAAATCGCCCTTTGTGGGCATAGCTGCAACATTCAATAATATGGTAATTATTTACTATTAGATGTAAGAGCTAATAAAAACTCCGCACATAGGAGAATGATAAACCGATGGGTTGCCTCTCATGAAACATTAGGTCTTTAATAATTACATAAAATAGTTTGTGAAAAATCTTAGAGATATTAGCGAAGAGTATGGCAAGAGTATGTACCAAGACATCAGGACTTTAAAGGAGCGATATCAAGAAAGTTGGGGCTTTCACAAAAGGGTGGCTATTGTCAAACAGCCTTATAAGACATATAAGGTCAAGTAGTTTTTATTGCTATTGAAACAATGAAAAAAATCAAAATGAAAAGGCATATCTACTCAAAACAACGCTGACAACACAAAACTATTCGCACTGTTTAAGCGCCACAGTTCCAGCTTATATTTATACTCACAAGTCGTTTTCATTTACCCCATTGCAAATAGGTTTGAAGAATAATGTAGGTAGTATATATCGCAAATAAAATTTTAATTATTACGAAGTTTACAAATAAGACTTACTCAATACAAAACATAAGCCTGAATATAAACTTATATTTAGCATATATTACAAATTCGCGAACAACGAACGGCGAAAGTGAACCCATTACTTTACAAGAAGCCTGCTTATATATATGTATCAGCAGCTACTAAGCACACACAGCCGGTATGCTCTAATTGCAAAATTTCAAAATAATATTATGCAGCATTGTTACTTCACACGCAGTGGGATCCGACAATGTGATATAATTACAAGTGGCTAGTTATAACAATGCTTTTTAAATACAATTACTCAGATAGTGGCGAGACGTAAAGGTAAAGCTGATTTTACACGAACACGACGAGCACAATCAGTCCGATTTCAGCCAAACAACGAAAGTCGTTTGGAGCTATTCACTTCGAATATATTTATGCAAAATATATTATCTCACGGTAACTCATATGGAATTGTTAAGAGAATGGTAATGTACAATATACAATATAAAAATATATCTAATACTAGAGTTTTTTTTAAATAAGAAAAATCATAATATTTTCTGGAGATATTTTGACATAATAATCCCATCAATAATCTAATAATCACCAATTGATACATATATTTATTTTTAACTATTACTAGAGGGACTAGTTAATTTTGATGTTGAGATATATAAGTATACTATTTTTAATGTGATACATCAAATAAAAAGCAAAGATTTATAAATTACAAGCAGTCCAATCCTTTCGACATAAAATTTTATGTCAATATTAGTATATATCAAACTTGGTGTCTTAAATTAAGAAATGTGCGCAAAGCACATACTAAGTGTTAATAAATTTAAATGTTAGTGGTAACCATGTATTTTATGAACATGTATTGATGTAAAACTTCAATTCCTAATATTCACTAATGCTGACATAAAATTTTATGTCAAAATGTTTGGAGAATTGAAGATTAATTTATAAATCTCTGCGTTTTATTTAGTGTGTCGTCTTAGAAAAACTTATATACTTCAACATCAAAATAAACACCTCTCTACAATTTTTTGCTCTCTCGCTCTCTTTCTCTCTTTCTCTCTCTCTCTCTCTATATATATATATATATATATATATTTATATATATATATATATATATATATATATCTATTAGGGTGGTCCTTAATATGGACATTTTCGAATTTCAATTTTTTCATTGCAAATTTGACGATCTGCAAAATTTTTTTATGCTATTTTCATACAAATCTTTGATTGAATTGCGCTCTATCTAAAGACAATATTAAGAGCTAAAACTTTCAGAGAATTGTTTTTTTATTAATTTGGAACCATTTGAGTCCTTGGGAGCAAGGAATTTCGAAAATGTCTATGTATAAAATTAATATTTTTCTCGATTTCGAATCCTGATATGACGCTCTTTGTCTTAAAAAAAGGCAAAATTAAAAGAAGAACAACTTAAGCATCGAAATATTCAATACATTTTTACTCTATGTAAATATCATTTTTGGTGATCAACAATTCTTTTAAGTAAGTTTTGAAGTAATAAATCAATTACACATATTTGAAGAAAAATTAAAACTATGACCATAAATTACTAGTACTGCTCCAGGGCAAGTACCTGAGTAGAGTTAAACTCGATCTCGATTCAGGTAAGAATAGACCAATAGTTAGAGTTAATTAAGTTAAAAGAAATAAATCTCAGGAACAAACATACTCTCAATTAGAAATATATATAATTAATAAAACTAATCGTTTAAATTAATAAATTCATTTCAGATTTATAAAATCATTTTTATGGTGACCAATTAAGATATCAATAAATGAAATTTTATTTATAATAAAAAAGAGATTCAAATTTATATAAATGTGTAAATTGAATTTCAACAGGATGATTTAAAAGAAGCACAATTCTAATATTATCGTTTTCAATAAATTACAATCCCAGCACAATTTATCTATATGGCAAACCTAGAAGATACCGCGTACAGTGTACAAATCGCTTAACGTTACGAGTTTATTTCTCCGGGACGGACAATGTATTGTACGCGCATTTCCCACGCTCGGCTCGCGAACCCACTGAGCTATTTTATTAGGAAAAAATAATATGCATCTTGAATGATGAAAAAATACATATCGTTGACTGAAGTCACTCTTCTGCTTTTTTTTCAAATAGAATATCTAAAGCGATCATGTTATTTTTTATGATCGGTCAGAGATTATGGTATGAGCGTGCTCTATAGAGAAAATCTGTAATGTTACAACTTGCAATATTATGACTTGCAATAGAAAATATCTGCCAACTTTCTTAAATTATAATGCCGCAATAAATTTGTACCTACGTGGATAAATATAATGTTGTAAATTATACTTTGTTTTAATACTCGTTGTTGTAAATTATTCACTTGTTAATAAATAAATTTATAGTAACTTTTGTATTAAGTTATCTTTGCTTAAGCTGAAAACAAGAAAACTATTTTTTTATGAATATATTTGGGCCCTTGTTTACTTACACGTTTGCATGGATTACATAAATTTATATTCTAATTGTATGGTAACCTAAAATACTTACTAAATAACTTAATTCATATTAAAACTAATTTACACTCATTTTACCTTCAGCTAAGAAATGATAAATAACTTGAAACATGTCAATAATTTTCAATTAGCTGGTAAAGATAAATATTTTTTTTAATTTATATATCTTACTTAAAAATCATGATATGGATTATTGAGATATGTACTTTATATATTCTTAGATGTTTCTTCAGATTTACCGGCATTTTTTCCAAATTTACCACTTGAGTATTTGTTGTGATTAACCATTTATATTTTATAGAAATATGAAGAGAAGCTCCCATGTCTTGATCTACACTTCCGTTACATATAAACTTCCTAGATTTGTTAGTTGTCCATATCATGATTTTGTTAATACTCAAGTCTATAAATGCCCATCCTTCTAGTAAATCTTGCGTTTTCCAATTAATTTGTCATTGTTCATATATTTGAGATTTGCAGTATTTTATATCATTCTGTTAACAAAACTATTGAATGTGAAAATTGCTGAAGCTTCGATTTTTTTTTAAAAAGCATGTACTAAGGAGATCTGAGAAACTTATGAATATTTTGTGTGTTTTTCAAGGGGCACAACTAGTGTGAAATTTTCAAAAAATCGAATTTTTAATTTTTCCATATTTCGATAGGTTATACCTTTAAAAATAACATACCAAAATTTTAAATCGATATCTTGAATAGTTTTTGAGTCACAGCCATTTAAAGAGTATATAAATAGTACATAGTATAACGATCATTTCATCTTTAAACGCATTTTTCTCGAAACAGCATTTTCCGAATTTGATGCAGTGATTACTCAAAAACAAATGATCCGATCACTATCGATTTTTTTTACATGTTCGATATATAGTTCTCCGTAAAATGAACTATCGATTTTTTGATCGTATCAAAAATCGAATTTTGGCAGTCCAAAAACGACCAAATTTTTTTTTAAAACGCCGCCATTTACTCAATTTTTGATTTTTTTTATTGTAGGTCATTTTATAGACAATATTATCTAGTTTAACGAGACTTTTTTTTTAATTTCATCCACGTACAAGACCGGAATCACTGCAGCAGTGAAGGGCCTTTTTTTGGCGCCGTTGGAGATCGACGATAACTTAATTTTTTTCTTCAAAAATTTTACTATGTATTCTTAAAACATGTGTAAATATATTCTTAAAATTTTGAAATGATTGATAAAATATTTTTTAATAAAAATTTCAAAAAATCACCTTTTTTTAGGCGGTAACACTAGTTGTGTTCCTTAAACATGTCTATTACTTAAAGTAAATGGTAAATATAGTAGTTTATACGAATGATAGATATTAAAAATATAATAAGTAAATTAATTAACAAATTTAATGTTCATTAATTATTGCATCGAAACGAAAGAAATACCACGCAGTATGCTGCAGTTCTTGCTATCATATCTATTTCTTTCGATTTGATACATATGTATTTTTAACAAATATGTAGTTCAGTTTAAATATATATTATATAATTGAACTGATATATTTATTAATGTTATTTCAAATAGAATTTCAATAATTAAGTTATAGACATTTAAATGTCAATATATACTTAATTAACACTTCAGTTATTTTATTGAATTATATATAACAAAATATAAAATGCAAAGGGCCTTTAATTATGTTCAAAATAGTGTCTCGGACACAAAGCTCTATATTCGTCTTCTACGAGTGTCCAGTAATTTACCATTGCACAAAAGATGTGTGCAGCTTCATCGCACGTACCGTGGCTGCAACTAACATTGGCGCCTGTTCTCTCACAATACATACATTTGGTACGACAGTAGCTCCAAGCAGCACATTCCAATCCCATTAATTTAGAACCAGCCATGAAAACACTTGGTGCCCACAGAGCACATCTTTCATGAATCCATATTTCATAGGTTTCTTCCCCAATTTTGTACATCCCGGACATTTCTGTATCTTTGATTTGGTTTATACTTACCCCGGTCTTATAGAAATCAGGAGAAGTTGTTGATATTATATAAGGACCAAACAAATCTCCCAATTTTGTTAATTGGCAAAAGGGTCCAATTTTGCAAAATACGCATATCCATAAGTCAATATTGGTCGTACTATCGCATTCCATAGCGATAGCCGTTTCGTCCATAGCAAATATTAAATTCTTCTGTAAAAATTTTATTATTAATATAGTTCTTAAACCAAGATAAGCTATTAACTAATAAAGTATCAGTTAAATACTTACATTAAATATTCTTTAATATTAGAATTTTAATTTTTCACTTTAAACATTTACACAGGCTTTAGGATATTTCACATGCATATGTGATAATGTGATAATATTAACTAATTAACAAAATAATACTTTTTTATTTTCGAATATATTTTTTATCTGTCTACTTTATATTACACACATTTTATTATTAATATTACAAATTTATAAATCTATCGTTAAATGTTTTTTAGGGATTTTTTTTATTTTTAAACCATTAGCACACTCTCTGAATAGAAACTGTCGACTGTTAAGGTAATATAAATTTGTCAAAGAAATATAATTTCCAGAAGAAAAACACGCATACCTACACACACATATATATATCTATAATGAATCATTTGTGTAAAAACATAGATTAATGAAATTTCAACAAATAGTTTAATCGCGAACCTTATTAGCAATTAATAATAATATTTTATCGCGTGAAAGAATTAAAACATAACGAGGTATTTTGTTTACAATTTGATATTCACAATCGATTTTCTATCGTTCTTTCTCTGAGTCTAGTGTTTTATTTAGCAATATCAAATATAAAACGTAATAGGATAAACATTACACACTTCCTTATTTTATTTAATTTTTAATAATTTTTTCAATTTTTTTTTCTCTTAAACTATGGGTCCCGATCCCATTTGGGGGCGCGTAGGAAAATTATGGGGTCGCAAGAGATTTCAATCATTTTGTAACATCACTTCTAGGTTTTTGAATAGTTTACAACTAATTCTAAAACAAAATTTTGACATATGTATATATGCATATTGTTATCTAATAAATAAAATATCTCAAAACAATAATTTTCCTGTCTTATATATTTGTGTGGGGTCGTCAAGAAACTCGAAATCATAAATGGGGTCGCAAATAACAAAAGATTAAGAAGCCTTGGACTAGAGGGATTGGACCTGAATCAGAGGTCCCGGGTTCGATCCCGCTTCGATGTCAAGCAGTAGTGACAATGGTTTCCACTTGGAAATATAGATATCAATATCAATCAATCAATATGTTTCTAAGTTAAAATAGTCCTGATCCGGCATTGCAGCATCAATAATTTATTCGCTTATCAATTACTCGCTCTATTACAAAAATTGTAATAATAATTTATCACACAGAGATAGATCAACTGTTTTGACATCTGTAGAATCGAGTATTAAGTATAGTATTAAGTCAATTTAGCCCAACAGCTTCTAGGACTCTTAAGTTCTGATTGCGGTTAAAAAATAAGAACATATTTAAATAAATCAATTATTAGTAGGCATTCTGGGTTTTATGAACAGATTTATTGCATCGAGTCTTGCAAGTTCATTAATAATATAAGTCTGATACAGCCTAAATGTTTAACTCAATATCTTCCCAAGTAACTCACTGCTTGATTTTACTGATTCATATATTATGTAAAATACGATGTTATTATCTTAATAGCAATAACATTGATATAAAATTAATTGACTTATTTATAGATGATTATAAACGTGAATGTGTAACTGTAATAAAATGTTAGAAATAACAGTTCTACATTCATTACTGAACCCACATGTCTTTAAGTTCAGTTTCAGTTTTTTTTTGTTCCATCTTATTGGACTCCCGTTCTTGAAGTTGTTTTATTTGAATATGTTTGGATCGAGTTTGTTAGAACCTGATTTGATCCAGTTTTCTGTACCGTAGATTATGTTCTTAACTAATAATAATTGTTAAGAGATATTGGGATCGAAGGTTAAGATTAACATTTATATAACACGAGTCGATGTTATACAATGTGTAGCTTTGGATGAATGAAATAAGTTGCATATGTGTAACAAATTGGTATATTTTTATTTATAGATAAATAACGCAAAGTGAAATCTTAGGAGCAAATGAAGTATTTATGTAGCAAATTTGATATAAACTAGTATTTATCGAAAATTTTGAACTTTTTTAATATTTGTAAAATTAGCTTTTATGAAAAATTTGAAATTACTTGAAAAATTGTAACCGATTCAAGTTTGTTGATCTATACTGGAAATGCCGATTATCACCTAGTAAAAAATTTCGATCTCAACAAATGATATTTTCGATTAAATTGTGCTTTAATAAATCATTTTACTAAATACTTATGATTTACATTAAATGAAAATTCAATATTTTATCATTAATTACACATTTAATCAATTGTTGGTAAATATAGTTAAATGATGTAACAGTAGACTGGCCGGTAATAAATTGATTATATTTAATGATTCGTACTGTCTAATTATCTGTTACCAGTTAAACCTGAATAAGAATGTGAATGCAATATGTATAAAGTTTATCTCACAATTCACTTATTTCTATAACATAGTTAGAGAGTATTATGCACCCATTTAATATAAAATATACATACATATATAAAATATACATACATATATAAATACAAAAAATACATCCACTTTTATATATGCGAATTTATGTATACACATTTATTATTATTTATTTATATATTGATTTAATCCATAATTTTAAAATTCTCTATGTTAAATGGCGTGCAAACTTTATGAAAGTATCATCTTTTTTATTAAATAAATTTTATTTTCATTAAGGTGTTTCTTTAAAAAATGATTGTCTATAAACAGCGTGTTATTAATTTATATAGTTGTAATTAAATAGTGCCTTATTATTTATATTATAAATAATATTTTTTTTTTTACAGGTCGACATGCTGATACGGCTGGCTGCGGCTTTGCCGATAGCCGTTTTATTACTAGTTCAAATTAATCCTGCCATATCAGAGGTAAGAACTTACAAAGATATTTTTGTAATTACAATTTAATTATTATTAGAGTAGCAACCACTAATCCGGGTTCGATACCCATTTTGGCCAGCTAGATATACCACTAGTAATATCAGATTTACACTCGAGCATAATTTTAATTTTCAAATTTGGTTTCAAATAAAAAATGATTGTTGGAGGTATGAATGCAATATTTATTTACTATATCACTATTAGAAATATATCTATTATGGTATTAACTGCAATACAATAATCAACCTGGGTGGTTGTCTTTTAAAAACACTATTACAGCAGCTTATAAACCTATATTTTTTATAATTTTTATATGCATTGATATTACCAGGTCAATAACTTTTAAATTAGAGCTTACCAAAGTAGAGGTTGTTATTATATATGCATCAAATTATATTAACTGGGATAATTAGTTCTTGAAACTATTCAATATATTTAAATAAAAATTATAAGGAAAATTACTATAGCTTATAAACGTAGTTTTTATTTTTTTCACAAAGTGCATAGTTATTAATATACTTCTCTTAATTGCCAATAGATAACGTTATATTCTTTTCCTTTGATATAAAGGTGGTAGTATATTTTACATATTTAGCTTTATGATTTGTCTTTAAACTTTTTATTTTTTGGAATAATTCTATCTTTATTTTTTTAAAATAGGCTTTTTATGATGCAATTTCAAAGTTTATTCACAATATCATTCTTTATCCAATGAATAGTTAAAATTGCATAATGTGACGAATCTTGGGATTTCGCTACTATTGAAAAACAGTTTATAAATCACGAACTGCAGAAATTGACTGATGCAACTAAATAAATTTTCCACTTCAAGTAACACATTATTACAACTCAATATCTATAAAAATTAAAATTGAATTTGACCACAAAATAATTTAATTGTTTATAAATATTTTAATTACTTATTAAGAGTATCTCATATTTTTTTGGGCGATAATCTACGAAGTGCAATACATTTAATTACGCAAGATTATTATATTTTTTAAATAATTAGTTTATTGAAAAAAGATATGTACATATAACTCCAAATATATTTTTACTATAATTATTCTTTTGACATGATACTATTGGACAATAATCACAATATCATTATATGGCCTACAAGTCCAAATTGTTACAAAATGTAGAAAAATCGAGTTGAAAATCGAAATATAGAGTTATTGTAAAGATAGAAAAAGTGCGAAGAATTTTTTGTTAATTGTGATGAGTTTGGGACACATAACTTAACTTTTCTTATAATCGTTAAAGTTTCATTCAAAACAAAAAATTATAGTATTATATTACATATAGTAGTATCGTGGAAGCTTTAACTGTAGTTTTTTACATGGTAAATATTGACATAAGCTGTATTCGTAAGTTTTTTTTACATATTAAGCTCTTAGTAAATTTTCTAATGTAGTAGCATAAGTTTCAATTATAAAATGATCGATGTCGCTTTCAATGCTTATTAATTAGGTTTACTATCTTTTATAATGAAGATTTAATGAGAAAATATATTTCTCTGTAATTCAATTACTGATTATGGTATCTATTTGAATATGATTTATTGCATTTTGTCATATAGGCTTAGGAAATGAAAGTACCTACGTGTGCGTTTTGAGGTCACAATTTTTTTGCACTTTCAAGGCTCATATTGTTTCGCACGGATTATTGTTAATAAAATACATAAACTATTGCATACGATATTATGATACGTAATTTGTTAGAAAATTACATCGGGACGCTGTTGAATGGACGTTTCTTTATTGCAGCATTGCATAAATAACTCGTTCATACTTGATCCAAATTATATGAGTAATTCAATAGGCGCAAGCGACTTTCGAAATTATTCGCTTTTCTTGGCGTTTGACAGTTTTTATCGCATCGCACTTGCAATAAAAAGATAATAATTGGACATAAATTATCAGAG